GCAAGGCAGCAGTTCGAGGCGGCGCGGAGGATCCAGGGGCAGCACCTCGGGGACGGTCACGTGGACGTCGCCGCGACGCGCGGGTGGTTGGGCGCCGTCCTGCTCGCCCTCGGGGAGCTGGCCGCAGCGGGGCTGGAGATCGAGGCGGCGCTTCCCGTCCAGAGCCGCGAGCTCGGCGAGGACTCTCTAGAGGTGTTCGGTCGCAAGTCATGGGAGCCCTGTATACCCTCGCAGCTCCATCTTTAGAGTGCGTGAGGGCCAGTTAGCGTACGTTAGTCGATTAGAAGGCGTCGATCGGCGTCGATTCCCAAGAGCCAACAAGAATGTTTGGGAGGCCACGATGAGCTACCACAGCAGAGGTCCGGCTGCGCGCAGCAGGAGTGGCCCTTCGCTGGAGCGTCCTCCGGCGCGGGCCCGCTGCCACCCCCCCCCACGCCCCCCAGCCGCGGAGCGCGATGCGGCAGCAGCGGCTTGCGCAGGTTGAGCCCCACCCTGGGCGCCCCCCGAAAGCCACGCACGTTCAGGGGCAACGTTGGGGGGGACGCATCGACCCTGAGTCGCCCGTGGATCGCCGATAGATAGGGGCCCGAAAGCCCACTCCGCACAGATCCGTGCGGATTTGCGGTCGGGGGCAGATTGCCGATCTACCAGCGATGCATGGCCGATTTCGAGTGGACGTGCCCCCGGTGCTCCCCCCCCCTGAGTTGGTCATTCCTTAAACGTTGTTCCTCAGAGGTGGCCACGCTACGGGGCAATTTGGGAACCGTCTTCTTGAAGTTGGGGCGGCTGGAGGAGGCGCGGCGGGAAGTTCAGGCGGCCGTCGACTCGTTTGGGCGGCGCGCCGGGGACGACGACCTCGACGTCGCCAACCTCAGGAGCTCGAGGGTAAAGCAAGCGTGGATGCAGTAGGTTCGTGTCGTGTCGACGCGGCGGCGACTCCGCCGCGGGCGTTCGAGGCCGAATGCCGCCAGTGTCCCAGAATCTGCCAGCATGGAACAATCTGGCGATCGAAAAACCGCCGATCGTTCAAGGCCTGGCGAAGGACCCAACCATCTGCAGTTGTGAGTGCCGCACTTGTGAGTACCGTCTTCGGTGGAGCTCCCTATGGGCCACGAACCCTGTGAGGGGTGCGCCGAAATGAGGGTGGAACTGCATGCGAACGCTGCCACTGGGGCCTTCCTTCGGGGGAGCTCCCTATGGGGCCACGAACCCTGTGAGGGGTGCGCCGAAATGAGGGTGGAACTGCATGCGAACAGAGGCAAGGATGGGAAGCAGGAGGGAGGAGGAGGAGGAGGAGGAGGAGGAGGAGGAGGAGGAGGAAGAGGAGGAGGAGGAGGAGGCGGGAGGGACGCGGGGCGCTGTCTCTTCAAAACGAGGACCCAACACCACAGGATGGTTGGGAAAAATACTCAGAAAATAGTCTGGGGACGATTTTGTTTAACTATTTTTGATTTTTTACATGTTGTTGAATATGTTTTTCTTTCGTCGAAAATCTGCCTGTAGGGGGACATGCCCGACTGAACGGTAGCTGTTCTTGGGCGATGGGGGGGGGCGGAAAGTCGTCCGGAATCCCAGTGATCTGGGTAATCGCCCCCCTCCTGGGCTAAGTATCTTTTTCGCTGCTCTTCAGGAACAATTTGGGCACCGTCCTGTTCGACCTTCGGGAGATGCCACAGGCACGAGAGGAGATAGAGGCAGCGCTGAAGGCCAAGAGGAAACATCTCGGGGACGACCACCTGGACGTGGCAAAGATGAGGTGCAGCCTCGCCACCGTCCTGACGCACATGGGGCAGTTGCCCGAGGTCCAAGTCTGACGAAAACACTGGCCCCCCTCGCCCCTTCGACCCGCTCGCCCCTCGCTTCCCCCAGCGGTTGGGGGATCGGGAGGCTCATTGGCCCTTTTGCCCAATTAGATTTTGGGCCTCGGATGAGGCGCGGAAGATGCTCGAGGCGTCGCTGAAGGTCATGAGGTATCGCCTCGGGGACGACCACCCGGAGGTGGTTCCGATACGAGAGGCGTACCGCGCAGTGTTGAGCTCTGCAGTTCCGTCCGGGCCCTCCTGGACGCGCCTCCTGTGACGGGGGAGAAGGCGCACCTGGCGCGCGGGGCGCTCTCCCGGAGGTTATCCCGATGATTGGGGGCGTTCCGCGCAGAGTTACGCTCTGCAGTTCCATCCGGACCCTCCCGGGCGCGCCTTGTGTGAGAGGAGCCCTCGCGCGGCGCGCCGAGCGCGCGTGGCGTCCTAGGGTGGCCCGCTCTTCAAAAGCCACGCCCATGCCATGCCGCATTGCCCCCCGCCCCTCCTCATCCGCCACCTCCGCCTCCCGCTCGTTCCTCCCTCTCCTGTGTCCAAGGAGTCCTTGCCTTGCATAGTGGAGCCCTGCCAGTACATGTCGGAACGGCACGCAGAATATCAGCATATGTCATGCATGCTGGAAGAACACACAGAACACGTGAATGTCTCTTGCGGGGGGGAGGCACGCGCGCACCGAGAACGTT